AGGATTTTAAATTCTATTCTGGATTTAACAGGAAGCCAATTAAGAGAAGCCAGGATAGGAGAGATATGATCTCTCTTATTAAGTTTCATCAGAACTCTGGCTGCAGCATTTTGGATCAGCTGGTAGATATAAACTCTTAAATAAGGCACCCTCTAGTGGATAGCGGTTCCATTACAACACTGAATGAAATAATTTTTTTAAGTTATCAATAAGTCAAATGGAACAAATTTGTATCAATCAAACAGTTCAGTTCTCTCATTTATTTACATCCCGAATCTGAGCCTATCTATCTTAGCGTCAGAAACGCCATTCTAATCTATCAGTCAGTATCTTATGAGGTAAAGTTTTAACTGGAGCACTGGGAATCCTTCATATCTAGAAGTTGAGATTTTTGAAATGTCTGAAACCTTTACTTGACATCATCTCAGTGCTGTGATGTTTTACCAGCACTGTCATCGTTTCCTACTGGGGTTTTCCATCCAACATGCAGGGACACAGTAACTGTCTCTGTAGAGTCCCACTTTACTCCCCTGCTCATTTATTTAGTGTCTACATTCTGATGGGAAACTCGGTATGGAGTTTAAATGAAACACAAGGAATATTTTCCCTCCATCCATGTTCTCGCTGTCGAGTCCTGCCTATAAACATCAGAATATGTTTACACCACCAGACACTAACATGTTGACAGAGACACTCATTAATCTGAGAGGCAGCATATTCTTTTATGTGTATTTCCTGACAGCAGAAGCAACCAGCAAACACCAACCGGACAAATTATTAGAAACTCTGCTATGTTTTCTTGTAAAGTTACAATTCTGTGGACTCCCAATACACAAGTCTGGGTGCATCTTTCATAACGTTGCCACCCAGGAAATGGCCCTAGTGCACCCACCAGGCTTCTGATTGCTGAACCCCAACGAGACCTTAGACTAGGATGCAGCAGAGGAGGCATGAATCTAGACACACACACACTGAGTGGAGTGAATGAGTGGACAGAGAGGGAATAGCTGTCTCTCTGATTGTTTCCTCTCTCCTCCTGCAGTATTAATGCCACTCCACCAGAGAACGTTGGAGCCGACTGCCTGGTCAAAGCCGGGTCTTGCTGCCCTCTCTGGAAAGGCCAAAGGTGATGGACTTTGGACTTGTTCCAGTCGGTCCTGGCCAACTCGCTAACTAAAACTCTGCTTGTAATTGGCTTAGGACAGCCTCCGCAGGGGCCATCATGTGATAGGTAGCATGGCAGGTTCCCAGAGACTTGTTTGTGTTGCTCTGTCTCCTGATCCTTCAGCCATTCTGTCCAATTCACTTCTTTCCTTCCTCACTGCTTTATAAAGTCATTACTATTGACTGAAGTCTCCCATTGTTTCCTCCTTTCCATTTCAATTTCAATTCAGTTTATTTATATAGCGCCAAATTCACAGCACATGTCATCTCAAGGCACTTTACAGTTCACCAGATCATACAGTCAAATTGATACAAAGTTTTCTAATCTAAGGAAAACCAGTTGATTGCATTTACTCATTGACTCTTCTGCAATCCCTCACACTAAGCATGCTTGTAGGGACAGTGGAGAGGAAAAACTCCCTTTTAACAGGAAGAAACCTCCAGCAGAACCAGGCTCAGTGTGAGCGGCCATCTGCTGAGGCCGACTGGGGTTCATTTACTCCCTAAATTGACATGCTTAGATTGACAAAGCTTTGTTATTTTCTTTAGTTTGTTAAATGCTATAATAAGCCGCTTTATGATTAGTAAAGATAGCTTAATCAAATCAGAGGAAGAATTTATGATTCCAGATATAATCTAACAGTAATGATAGTTTAAAGCACGTTTCAAGATTCTGATCTTCAAAGAATCCGAATAAGGAGCTCTGAACAAATGCATGAGCAATGATAACTGGACATGATGTGGGTAAATG